ATTCGAAAAAGTGAACAACAAGTGAATTTGCGAACTCGCAAATTACAGCAATAAAGAATGTTTTACTAACGTTTATGTGATGTGGTACATTCTTAAATTAACCTACGAACAGAATTGAATACATTTGGATGTTGTAAATAATGCATGATTTCATGCTTTGTTCGAAAAAACATTACCACGGATGGGTTTAGAGATTTAAGTGAGCTGGAAATTAGTGACTGTTTGATAATTAATAACCACAATGAATCCTTAATTATTGAAACCGTTATACGATTCTTTTTTGTGTCCTAAGTTTTAATTATAAGTTCAAATAATGTTAGGTGTTGGAACGTGTAAATTAACTATCAATGAATATAATTACAGAATCCATCATTTTTCAATACCTTTCGGAAGTTTACAGAAGCTAATTGATTATCAATAGAATATTCTCACATATATTTAAATATTGTAATAATAAATTAGTATCATTATTCAAAAGTTCTACGCATTTTAAAATAATCAATCTAATATAATTAAAAATAAGATTTTTACTATAATTTAAATTACACTTGAAATAAAATATTTCGGTATACGAATGTAGTATATCTCAATTTCGAATGATTAATGACATTTATTTTTAATATTTTCAAACAATCAAATTTGCCTTAAGGCATGTCATGCTCATTTTTTAAATGTACATCTATTATTAATGAGAAAGACCAAATATGTTATGATTTTACCCCATGAAATAAATTATACAACAATTGTATATAAAATATCTCAGTAAAGCTAATACAGGAAAATTAAAAAACAGTTAATATTAAAATTCAAAAACAGTAAACTTTATTAACCATGTGAACGAAGTAACTTACGCTGTAAGTTATTAACTTACGCTCTAAGTTACTAACTTACGCTCTAAGTTACTAACTTACGCTCTAAGTTACTAACTTACGCTCTAAGTTACTAACTTACGCTCTAAGTTACTAACTTACGCTCTAAGTTACTAACTTACGCTCTAAGTTACTAACTTACGCTCTAAGTTACTAACTTACGGTCTAAGTTACTAACTTACGCTCTAAGTTACTAACTTACGCTCTAAGTTACTAACTTACGCTGTAAGTTACTAACTTACGCTGTAAGTTACTAACTTACGCTGTAAGTTACTAACTTACGCTCTAAGTTATTAACTTACGCTCTAAGTTACTAACTTACGCTCTAAGTTACTAACTTACGCTCTAAGTTATTAACTTGCGCTCTAAGTTACTAACTTACGCTCTAAGTTACTAACTTACGCTCTAAGTTACTAACTTACGCTCTAAGTTACTAACTTACGCTGTAAGTTACTAGCTTACGCTGTAAGTTACTAACTTACGCTGTAAGTTACTAACTTACGCTGTAAGTTATTAACTTACGCTCTAAGTTATTAACTTACGCTCTAAGTTACTAACTTACGCTCTAAGTTACTAACTTACGCTGTAAGTTACTAACTTACGCTCTAAGTTATTAACTTACGCTCTAAGTTACTAACTTACGCTCTAAGTTACTAACTTACGCTCTAAGTTACTAACTTACGCTCTAAGTTATTAACTTACGCTCTAAGTTACTAACTTATGCTCTAAGTTACTAACTTACGCTCTAAGTTACTAACTTACGCTCTAAGTTACTAACTTACGCTGTAAGTTACTAACTTACGCTGTAAGTTACTAACTTACGCTGTAAGTTATTAACTTACGCTCTAAGTTATTAACTTACGCTCTAAGTTACTAACTTACGCTCTAAGTTACTAACTTACGCTCTAAGTTACTAACTTACGCTCTAAGTTACTAACTTACGCTCTAAGTTACTAACTTACGCTCTAAGTTACTAACTTACGCTCTAAGTTACTAACTTACGCTCTAAGTTACTAACTTACGCTCTAAGTTACTAACTTACGCTCTAAGTTATTAACTTACGCTCTAAGTTAGTAACTTACGCTCTAAGTTACTAACTTACGCTGTAAGTTACTAACTTACGCTGTAAGTTACTATTTTACGCTCTAAGTTATTAACTTACGCTCTAAGTTATTAACTTACGCTCTAAGTTACTAACTTATGCTCTAAGTTACTAACTTATGCTCTAAGTTACTAACTTACGCTCTAAGTTACTAACTTACGCTGTAAGTTACTAACTTACGCTGTAAGTTATTAACTTACGCTCTAAGTTACTAACTTACGCTCTAAGTTACTAACTTACGCTCTAAGTTACTAACTTACGCTCTAAGTTACTAACTTACGCTCTAAGTTACTAACTTACGCTCTAAGTTACTAACTTACGCTGTAAGTTACTAGCTTACGCTGTAAGTTACTAACTTACGCTGTAAGTTACTAACTTACGCTGTAAGTTATTAACTTACGCTCTAAGTTACTAACTTACGCTCTAAGTTACTAACTTACGCTGTAAGTTACTAACTTACGCTCTAAGTTATTAACTCACGCTCTAAGTTACTAACTTACGCTCTAAGTTACTAACTTACGCTCTAAGTTATTAACTTACGCTCTAAGTTACTAACTTATGCTCTAAGTTACTAACTTACGCTCTAAGTTACTAACTTACGCTCTAAGTTACTAACTTACGCTGTAAGTTACTAACTTACGCTGTAAGTTACTAACTTACGCTCTAAGTTACTAACTTACGCTCTAAGTTACTAACTTACGCTCTAAGTTACTAACTTACGCTCTAAGTTACTAACTTACGCTCTAAGTTACTAACTTACGCTCTAAGTTACTAACTTACGCTCTAAGTTACTAACTTACGCTCTAAGTTACTAACTTACGCTCTAAGTTATTAACTTACGCTCTAAGTTACTAACTTACGCTCTAAGTTACTAACTTACGCTCTAAGTTACTAACTTACGCTGTAAGTTACTAACTTACGCTGTAAGTTACTATTTTACGCTCTAAGTTATTAACTTACGCTCTAAGTTACTAACTTACGCTCTAAGTTACTAACTTACGCTCTAAGTTATTAACTTACGCTCTAAGTTTCTAACTTACGCTCTAAGTTTCTAACTTACGCTCTAAGTTACTAACTTACGCTCTAAGTTACTAACTTACGCTCTAAGTTACTAACTTACGCTCTAAGTTACTAACTTACGCTGTAAGTTACTAACTTACGCTGTAAGTTATTAACTTACGCTCTAAGTTATTAACTTAACGCTCTAAGTTACTAACTTACGCTCTAAGTTACTAACTTAACGCTCTAAGTTACTAACTTACGCTCTAAGTTATTAACTTAACGCTCTAAGTTACTAACTTACGCTCTAAGTTACTAACTTAACGCTCTAAGTTACTAACTTACGCTCTAAGTTATTAACTTAACGCTCTAAGTTACTAACTTACGCTCTAAGTTACTAACTTACGCTCTAAGTTATTAACTTAACGCTCTAAGTTACTAACTTACGCTCTAAGTTACTAACTTACGCTCTAAGTTACTAACTTACGCTCTAAGTTATTAACTTACGCTCTAAGTTACTAACTTACGCTCTAAGTTACTAACTTACGCTCTAAGTTACTAACTTACGCTCTAAGTTACTAACTTACGCTGTAAGTTACTAACTTACGCTGTAAGTTACTAACTTACGCTCTAAGTTATTAACTTACGCTCTAAGTTATTAACTTACGCTCTAAGTTATTAACTTACGCTCTAAGTTACTAACTTACGCTATAAGTTACTAACTTACGCTCTAAGTTATTAACTTACGCTCTAAGTTATTAATTTACGCTCTAAGTTATTAATTTACGCTCTAAGTTACTAACTTACGCTCTAAGTTACTAACTTACGCTCTAAGTTACTAACTTACGCTCTAAGTTACTAACTTACGCTCTAAGTTACTAACTTACGCTCTAAGTTACTAACTTACGCTCTAAGTTACTAACTTACGCTCTAAGTTACTAACTTACGCTCTAAGTTATTAACTTACGCTCTAAGTTACTAACTTACGCTCTAAGTTACTAACTTACGCTCTAAGTTACTAACTTACGCTCTAAGTTATTAACTTACGCTCTAAGTTATTAATTTACGCTCTAAGTTATTAATTTACGCTCTAAGTTATTAATTTACTCTCTAAGTTACTAACTTACGCTCTAAGTTATTAACTTACGCTCTAAGTTATTAATTTACGCTCTAAGTTATTAATTTACGCTCTAAGTTACTAACTTACGCTCTAAGTTACTAACTTACGCTCTAAGTTACTAACTTACGCTCTAAGTTACTAACTTACGCTCTAAGTTATTAACTTACGCTCTAAGTTACTAACTTACGCTCTAAGTTACTAACTTACGCTCTAAGTTACTAACTTACGCTCTAAGTTATTAACTCACGCTCTAAGTTGTTAACTTACGCTCTAAGTTATTAACTTACGCTCTAAGTTATTAACTTATGCTCTAAGTTATTAACTTACGCTCTAAGTTATTAACTTAATTTGACTGATGACAAAATTAGCCTTTACAGCCGTATTTGATTAAATATCTAGAAAAATAATCTGTCGTTGAGAAATGCTTGGCGGGCCGCAGAAAAACTTCTGGCGGGCCGCGGGTTGCTCATCCTTGGTATACAAGTACCTAACTTGTATTTAAATATTCAATAATAAACTTTGGTACATTTAGGAATTTCTAAAAAAAAATCTATATCGAATTAGGGGGGGGGGGGGCAAAGCATTGACCAAGGGGTCCACGGCACATGAGGCCTAGTACATGAGGTCTTTTACCAAATATTACTTAACGCGAGTAACTACAATAGCATTTTCTTAAGCCGTAAACAATAATTTAATTGCAAGTACAAACACAAGGGAGGTAACAGCAACAGCTTTACACCGTCGTTCCCAGGCAACGCACGTGTTTACTGTTTATATTCACCCACATGGTCCCGTTCGAATCGTTCCGGCGTCGTTCGGTCCCCGTCGACGCTCGTGCCGCACAGATTTTCAGGCCCTAACAAACTTTCAATTCGAATTTAGTTTATTTGTGTCCTCGAGGGCCCTGGGTCTCAGGACATCTCGCAATTGTTGCGCCGGAAAATTTATAATAATAAATATTTTATAACAGATTTTGAGTGATACTTGTGAAGGAATATTATTTAAATTATTCTGAAGTGTTTTATGTTTTTGGAACAAAGGATTTTTATAAGTGCAATTAGTGTTTGTGAAATGGATTGGTTTTGAAACAAGAGGGAGCTGTCATTTTCCGGAGTTTTATTTTGAACACGATATGGTAAGTGATTTTTTGTTTATATTTCATTTTAATTGTAGAACGGTTAATTTATGATAAATGCTGGATTTTTATTAATGTAAGAAAAGAAACTTATGTGTTTAATTTATAGAAATTACTTGGTTGTAATGAAATTTTAAAAACCCAAACAATTATCAAAAGTCAAAATTTTCAAATATTATTCAATATCTTATACAAGTTATTACCAAAAAGTTCTCTAATAAATGATTAATTAAGGTGGGAAACTTAAATATCTTTTTTTTTCAAAAATGAGTGATATGGATTTTATAGATAAATAATTTGTGCTTCTTAATTTCCAATAACTTTCTACATAATTTTTTTTACACAGTCCATTCCTTTATTCGTTTTTTAATATTCTGTAATTATCATCATTAATATTACAATTTCATAAAAAATTGTTTTTAACAGAAAAACCTAATGATGATATTTAGTTCCGAAACGCCGTTATTAATGTCTACAAAAATTGGATCAATATTTGGAAAATAAACATATATCAATTTATTGAAAATCCAGGATTTATCTAATATAATATATAATATTAGGTTTTATTTTCCTTAAGTTAGCAATAATGAGATGGCAAAATATCGTTGTATATTTAAATAGTTATATTCAATATCTAAATTATCATATAATAAATTTGGTACAATACCTCTCCTACGATTTGATTAAATTTTTGTGATTTTTTTCTAACGTTTAACTGAATAATTTAATTATATTTCCAATATTTATAAATTAAATATTCAATTCCAATAATACTGTCTAGCAGTAACATTTTTCCTTTTTTTTCATAATTCTATGCTTTCATAATGGTAATCATTTTCATGAGATTGATAGAAAAATAGAAAATGGAAATAAGTTCAATATGATTTAAATTATTATTTAATGAGCACTTGCTTATTAACGTTAAACTTATGGATACAGTATTTTATTGTATTTTAAATAATTTAATTTTAATTGCTCCAATTTTCTAATATTTTATTATTTTATACGTATTTCTCAAAGTGCAGAAATTTTTTGGTATTTTTATGAATATTTTTTTCTGTTAAGTAGAATTTTAATTTAAAATTTACAAATTCAAGAGGCGGGTATTTTTGAGTATTTTTTATAATTAAATTCGTTATATGCTAATATAATAGGGCTAATTTTTGGTCGTACTTAAAAAATGTCTATCTGGGGATGATGGTAGCAAAACACAAATGACTACTAAAATTTACAACTTTACAAATTCTGAAAATAAAGTTTCGACATATATAAGTACGTACACACACATTTAAATGTATATGTATGTATATATTTATGTATGTGTATCATTTAACAAGCTCTGCATTTGCTCTGAGGTTTATAAATCAACACACGACCAGAAATACAATACTGTTATTTTTATTTTGAGTGAATAAAAAATGCGCTGGAAAAACATTATAAATATTGTTTATTTTATCAAGCCGAAACAACATTGTAAAAGACCTCGTTAGGGCAACGAGCAGGATATTTTTAAAGGACACACTGTAATTTGAAGTTTAGCCTTAATTATAATGGTTTTTTTGTTGTAATCGTTGAATTTTAATAGATTTGCATATTATTTAAATTTATTCAGCTCATTAGTTGGGTTCTTGGAAGCCATATTTAGCTTGCCATTAAGGCACATCCATAAATTATTCCAAAGGTACTGTTAATTATTAACCTTGTTAAGTACAAGTTATTAACAAAAAGTCCTCTAATGGATGATTTAACTAATGGGAAACATTTTTCAAATAAATCCTTTAAAGACTTCACGTTGTTTTATATTTGTAATCATTTCTAAAAAAAAAACATTTATTGGTTCTGTAGATTTGCAGGTTTCTCTTGAAGTTTGGAAATGCAATTTGATAATTTACTAATTTTTATTAGGTTGATTAATTAGTATTAATTGCGAAGATTTTTAATATTTGTTAAAAATAAATAGTGACTAAAAAATTTATATAGCCTTTGAATACTTTTAATTTTTTTCTAAAATATGTTAAATCGATGAAAATTTATACATTTATTTACAGACCAACAATCAATGTATAATTGATTTGTGGTAGCACAAAATTATATGTCGAAAAGTCTGGGAAAATATTTTAAAAGCTTTTACTTCTTATTTGGTGAATGTTATGCACTTCAAGATTTTATTGACGTGCATTTCAACATCAAAATTAATTAATATTGCCTCTCAAAAGCAATTAAATATTTGTATATAATTATCAATGTTGGACTAAAAACTTGAAAAAGAAAAAAATACTTATATGTAGATCAAAAAATTCTATAGATCATATCTATAGATGAAAGAGATAATATACAAATATGGGAACATATTTAAAATCTCCAAAAATCCTTATCTCGTAAGTCTCGAAGTAACAATTTGTTTCTGCTGGTCCAGACGTTTTCCAATACAAGTAACAAAATATCAATGTCACAAAAAATATTATGTCTGTCGGTTTTTGAGGGCGGACCGTCGCCAAAAAATCTTAGGACATGTGTTATGTGACACGCACGCTCGCACCGACTCTCGAAATCGTAATGTAAGAAATAATAGCAGATGACGGGCTCCCACAGTGGTTTTTGGCCGTCAATTCCTTCTTGACATAATACTAGGGCTGAAGAGACTTAGTAAGTAAAAATTCAGGCTTTTGAACGTACTTGCTATGTCAATCTCACCATGTGATATGAGCCAAAAATCCATCAGAAATGCGGAATTATTGTAGTCAGAAGTATATACAATACAGTGATTATCTGAGCATCCTAGTAGGCTAGCAAGAAAATATTTAAATCAATTTCATAACAACAGAATTTATATAGATAATTTTGAACGTATTATGAATAAAAAATCTATCAGAAATGAGGAATTATTTATATGTAGTAAGGAGTATACAAACAGGTTGATGAGCATCCTAGGAGGCTAGCAAGGCATTTTTAATTTTTTTTTTCACACTTGATTTTTACTAATCAGAAATAAATATACATAAAAAAATAAAATGTTTAATAGAACTCTAGTCAAATTTGAGGTACATATATGAAAACGAGCACCATAGCAATCATATAACATAAAACATGGTAAAATGTAAAAATGAACCAGGTGATATAATTGTATTATGAAGTATGTATATTAGATATAAGTACATATTTCAAATTAAAAATTCCCAATGAATTATATTTTTTCATTATTTTTTTTATATATTTAATGTAATATTATTTTTTTTTATAATTTTACATATTTTTTATAAAGAAATGAATGAATTTATTATTATTATTTTGAAAAAAAGGTTTCGTCAAAAAATTTGATTTTTTCTTTATTTCCTTTTTTGTGCAATGATTATTGGAAAGAGGAGTATCCTTATAGTTCTTAGATTTGGTTTGTACTTTATGAACAATTGATTTAAAGTTTTTTATAGATAAATTAACAACCCTTTAAAAAATATGATACTAGAAAAGATAGTAGCCATCAACTTTTTATCAATTTAATTTTATGAGCTTTTATGTTAAATTATAAATTAAAAATAAAATATGTAAGTTTTAAAACACGCATATGTTCATAAAAAAATATAATTCATTAGAAATTTTTAATTTGAAATATGCACTTATATCTAATATACACTTCATAATACAATTATATCACCTAGTTCATTTTTACATTTATCCATGTTTTACGTTATATGAAGGTATGGTGCTCGTTTTCATATACCTCAAACTAGAGTTCTATTAAACTTTTTTTTTTATTTGAAGAATTTATTTATATCAAGCAAAACTACAGTTAGTTTATAAAATAAGAATATAAAGTTTATAACAAAATTTATGAGATGTCTGGCTCTTTAATCAACTTCTTAGTCAGAAACTTAGAAATTACTATTCTTCTTTTAATTTTTTTAAAATTTATATTAAATATATGTTTCTGACATGTAAGAGTTAATTTGTTATTACAAGCTTAAGTTAATTATAAGACTTCAATTTGTTGATTATTTTATGCCATAAACACTTTATTTTAATGGTAAAAATTGTAAGCCTGTTTTGAGTATAAAATTTACTTATTAACTTCCCGTAGGGCAAGTTATAGTAATCGCAAAAAAATCGAAAATGAAATTTTTATATATCTTTACGTTTCAGAGGTTTCTGAACATTTTGGCATACCTTAGCAAAAATGGATGTATGTGTGTGTGTGTGTGTGTGTGTGTGTATGTGTGTGTGTATGTGTGTGTGTATGTATGTACGTGTGTGTATGTATGTGCGGATACAAATTTTCGTCGACGATTTCGGGAACACCGATCAACCGATCTGAATAATTCAAAAAACATTCGATTCGTATTGATAAGGAGACGTGCTGATTAGTTTTTGGCGAAGGCAGGTCTAGCCGTTCCGAAGATACGGGGCAAAAAGTGCCGAAAACGGTAACTCAGTTTTTAAGAGAACGGAGCGTCCGATTTGAAAAATTCAAAAAATATTTTACTTGTATTGACAAGATGTTGATTTGATCAAATTTTTATGAAGGCAGGTCTAGCGGTTTCGGAGATCTAATGAAAAAAGTAAAAAAAAAATGCCATTCGGCGGTTAAAAATGATCATTAGACATATGCACCTCCAATTTTCAGATATTTTATAGAGATTTTAACAATAAGTATAATTTTTTTTTACTTTTCTATGGGTTCCGTACCAATGCTTATGCGTTAGACGGCGGCGCGGCACTTGCGAGCTTTGACATTTCGTCTCTATGCAGTTCAAGCAGTGCGATTGCTTTGAAAAAAAGTTCAGAATTTCCAAAATATGTCAAAATGAAGAAAACATTTTTTTTCAAAAAATTTTATTGTTTTAAAAAAAAAAAAAATTTTCTCAAAAAAAAATTTTTTTTTTCGAATAAAAATTTTTTTTTTAAAAAAAAGTAATTTTTTGTCAAATTTATAGTTTCTCAAAAATCTATTTTTTTCGAAGTAAATTTTTTTCAAAAATGTTATTCGTTTTTGAAAAAATAATAAT